TCTCTCTCTCTCTCTCTCTATTTCTCTCTCTTTCTCTCTTTCTCTCTCACTCTCTCTTTCGACTCTACGAGATTTTGCCCGTGTTTTCCACACACACTTTTCACTTATTCTTTTTTTCTTTATTTTTTGGTTGTTGTTTTTTTGTTTACGTTTGTTTTTTTGGTCTACTTATATTCTTTTTTGTTTTGTTTTTTCTTCTCTCTCGTTTTATTTCTTTATCTATTCTTTAGAAAGAAAGCACTCTTAGAATTTCATATTTGTTCCGTGTTTGACTGCGATCTCGTAGAGTCGAAAAGGGAATTGCTCGAGATGCATTGCCACGTTCAGAGAAAAAGATCATATAGAATAAAAAAGTACATTATTTTGATTATTTGTAATCGAATTCAATATAATAAAACGTATCTTTATCGAACGTGGCAAGCAATGTCGTGCAAAGTTCTCCGCGTATATGGAGAATCCGAGGAATGCAAAAAAAGGGGCGTGGAAAGTCTTCGAGAAAGACTTAAAATAGAGAAAAAAAAATTTAATTGAAAAAAAAAAAAAAAAAAAGAAAAAAATATAATAAAAGAACAGAAAAATAAGAACGGTCGTGCTGATAGTCGCGATTTACGCTTGAAATGACCTGCCTTCGCTTCTGGGAACTTAGTTCTCATTGCAAGAGCAAACGCTTCCACGTTGTGGGGTTGTCGCGATTAATTAAACGTAAAAGGGAAATAGAAAAGAAAAAAAGAAATTGAAAAAAGTGAATGGGCTCTTGCCGAACTCCCTTTCCTCTCCTCGTTCGCGCGGTTATTATTTTTGTTTTCTTTATTTGTTTGTTTTTTTTTTTTTTTTGGAATAAATATATGACAAACCGCGTTAGACGTATTCAGTAAACGTGTAACGTCGAGGAATGAGGTAGAGGAAACGGAGGGAAGCTAGCTCACGAATTTGAGAAAGAGTTAATGGGGAAAAAAAAGAAAAGAAAAAGAAAAGAAAGAAGGAAGGAAGGAAGGAAAGGAAAGGAGCGACAGCGACCGGGACGCGGAATAAAAAAAAAAGAAATAAAAAATTGGGAGCGAAGGTGGGAGAGTAGCGTTCTAATCCACTTTACCTGGATATGTTTCCGGGTGTGTTTTCACAGGCGACGAATCCGTACCTGACCGGTATGCCGCAGGTGGGCAACGCGTACAGCCCGTACTTCGCGCCCAGCCCGATAATGCCGGCGATAATGGGGCCTGCAGACCCAACGGGAGTCGGCAGCCCACTCGGCGTAGTCCCGCAGACGGTCGCGATGCCGCAGAAGATGCCACGTACAGACCGCTTCGAGGTATGTCAACCACCTAACTACATTCAGCAACAACAACAACAACAGCAACAACAACAACAACAACAACAACAGCATGGGGCCCAACACGGCGCAGCCGGGGCCTCAAGGTGCCCGATGGCCGCGCCCAATACCGTGTACCAAGTGCCGGCCGGTCCCCCCAATCAGGTGTCGCCCGTATCCACGATGCAATCTGTCAATCACCCACCTTCCCCGACCGCGACCATCACCACCGCGACCACCTCCATCTGCACGCCTCTACATAATCCTCACGCCCATCACCACGCGATCCACAACATCGTCTACGTTCATGCCTACTATTAGTCGACTTTTTCTCTCTCTTACAAACAACAACAACGACAACAACAACAACAACAACAACAATAACAACAACAACAACAACAACCCTTTTCCTAATGATGGAATCAAACAGAAACTCCTATATTATCCTTTCACAATTATCCACCTTATACCTATTACCCTTTTCTCTTTCTCTTCTCTATATATATATATCTCTCTCTCTTTCTCTCTCTCTATTTCTCTCTTTCTCTTACTATATTTTATCTATCTATCTATATATCTATCTATTTCTACATCTTTCTCATCCAACGGTATCACAATTACTCCACCATTCAACAATCCAAACATCCCCTTATATGATTCGCGAAACCTTCCAATATCGATCGATACAAACAACACTTCTTTTTGTCTAATTCTACTTCGTACTTTCTTGTGAAATGAACTAAAATTCTATTTGCATCGAGCGTTTGTTAAATCCTACTAACGTGTTATTATTATTCATCCGAGAGATCATCGATCGTTATCAATTGACGACCGACCCCGTCTAATATCGTCGCGCATTTTTTTTTTTGTTTAACTGCACAACGAAAGGATAATATAGTCGAGAGGAAGAAAGAAAAGAAAAATAGAAAAAAGAAAAAAAGCATTTCGCGGCTGGTGATAAAAGGGTGATAATAATCGTCCCGTTTCAAACGATTATTCTTCATTTTATTTTGGATGCAAATGGGTTGTGTTTTTTTTTTTTTTTTTTAAAAAAATAGATTCGATCGATATTAGATGAGCAATTTTTGCGATTATTGAGAAACGCCATATATATATAACTGTCGTTGTTTTTTTTTTTTTATTATTTTTGGATCATCCTTATGCGAAAAATATAAAAAAGGAAACGAAAAAGAATAATAGAAGGAAAAAAGAAGAAATAAAAAAGAAAAAAAAGAAGAAATAGCCTAGGCTGGAAATCGAAAAAGATCCTGGCACGCGCTCTCTTGCCCAGTTCATTGTTTTTTTTTCTTTTCTTCTTTTTTTTATACACACACGATCGTGGAAAAACGTTAACGTCGGATGGCCTAGCTTAGAAAATTGCAAAGTTCTTTATACATATATATATATATATATGTTAAATAACAAGATGATATTTACATACGTATAGGACATATAGTTTTTCCGTAAGAACACATACACGCGCACGTGTGTTGTGTGTGTGTGTGTGTGTATTAGAAAAGAGTTTTCGAATGAAATAGAGATAAAACTTGAAAAGGGCGCGCGTTTCGGAATATAATAAAGGAGAAAAAGAAAAAAGTATAGTAAGAAAAAAAAAAAATAAGAAGGTAAAAAAAAAAAAAAGAGACTAGGGGAAAGAAAGAACGGAAGTCGTGCTCAGCGAAAAGAAGATAAGACGGAGAGAAATCGAAGAGGGCGATTTGTCTCTCTGAAGATACATATATATATAGATATATATGTATAAACTATATGTGTGTATGTGTGTATTCGAATCTATTGAGAAAAACGCTCCTGTAGATCGAATATCCGCTGACTTGGTCATTCTAAGCCGAGTACAAAAGAAAAAAGAAATAAAATAAAATAAAATGAAATAAAATAAAATAAAATAAAATAAAATAAAAAGAAATAAAGAGGAAAAGAAAAAGGGGAATGAAAAATCATGATATATACAAAATATATACATATTTAACGTATGTATCATGTATGTATGTACTATACGAAGTACAATTATATATTTCGGCGGCTAGAGGAAACACTGACGTTTTGAAAGTTTCCTCGCGTAGCTTTCGAAGAAGAAAATAAAATAAAAGAATTAGCAGAGAGATACGTTCGAATTTTTTGATGGGTACGAAAGGAACGGAAGATAAAAGAGAATTATCTCGCGTTTCGAAGATAATTATTAGATGATCTTAGAGGAATCGTGCAAGCTAAAGAGAAGAGAAATGATTAACTACACAAAGAGGTCTTAAGAATTATTTTAGAAATTGTAAATTGATAAGGAGTTTATAAGTCTAATAATGAAATAAATTGCAACGACAAAACAGTGATGATAATTATTATTGATATTACGATTTTTAAATTTATACATATATATATATTATTATTATTATTATTATTACGAATCAATTATATTTCATTACTATGATTATAATCATTGTACTGTAGGTCAAGATAGATTAGATTTATTAACGCGAATATATATGAAATTTTTTTAGATTATTATTATTATTATTATTATTATCATCGTCGAGTCTTAGGAGTTTAACAAAACAAGTAATTTAAAGTACGTAAATAAATGGTTAAAGTAGAAGTAGAGGAATTGAGAATCGTGCAATGAATTAATATAAAATACAATTTAAAAAAACAAATCTAAATGAAAAATCTTCCGTAGAGTGACCGATCTTTACTCTCGCTGAGAAATTTTGTTCTCCTTTAATCTCACTTATCGAGATTTATTTATTTCGGTGTGATATTATAATACATACTCTTAGTTGTAAATTGTGATTTAAATATCGTTTCGCGTAGAGTAAATTATAATGATCGGTTAATCTTGGAATTGGACATAAGTAAAAAAGAAAAAATAAAAGAGAAAATTCTTCTGCTCCTGCTGACAATGCCAGTTCCTTAAATAATTAAATTCGTATTATTGCATATAAATATATATATAACATATTTTAGACGTTACGGGAAAAAAAAATACTTAAAATATAATGAATAATACTAATACGAAAACTAAACGTAGATTGTCGTGTAAACGTAAACAAAAAAATAATTAATTATGGTATCTCTCTTATTTAAAAAGTAAAAAAAGAAAAAAAAGAACAAAATGGAAAAAAAAGAAAAAAGTAACGACGAGCAAAACGAGACGGATGAAAATAATGGAGAAAAAAAAGGAGGAAAAAGAACAACAAAATGAGAAACACGGTTCGCAGATAGAGAGAGAGAGAGAGAGAGAGAATGAGAGAGTGAGAGAGAAAGAAGATTCTCTTTAAAAAAAGTTCGTATAAGTAAAACAATTATTAGGAATGACGGGAATAATTGTAAACGACAAATTAGTATTAACTCGGTAAAATTTAATTTTCAACGAAATGGAAGTAACACGGGGTGCGTATTACACGATATAAAAAAAAAAAGAAAAAATAGAAATATATTAAACAGTAACCTTCGATTGAAGTGAAAAACGTTGTCCGATGATATTCAAAATATACGAGGTGGGTGGGTGGGGTGGCTTTTTTTTTTGCTTTTGTTTTGTTTGTTCACAGTAGTAAAGTAGGAAGGAGCGGGAGAGGGAGAGGGAGGTGAGGGCGGGGGTATTCTTTATCGGGCCATATCCGCGACCATTCCGAGTAAAAACTTTTGTATCCGCATACACATTGCAAGTTTTATAATGTTCGAGTTTACAGATTTCCCCGGAGCCTCTATCGCTTCTTCTTCTTCTTCTTCTTCCTTTTATTTTTATTTTTCTTCTTTGCCTCGCGGCTTTTGCAGAATTAACAAGTTTCGCGTACGGTAGTTTCGCGAAGAACGAATAAAATCAAGGGAACCAAGGGGGGGGAGGGAGGGGGAAATGCAACTAGCAGAGGAAAGGAGAAGAAAGGGGGAACGGATTTGTGGGTGGTATATAAGTATATCGGTTCGGAAAACTCTTCTAGATGGTTAAACATTTTGCGAGGAAAGAAAATAGAAAGGGAATGAATAGCATGGTTGTCCGAAAAGGGATGGTAGGGGTCGAAGGTGTTGAATAGTCGTGAGAAAAAAGATCTTCGAAGAAAGATGAATTAATTGGACAACGTTTTTCACTAGTTTTTCACACATTGGCACGAAAACAATAATAATGTAGAAACAAACAATAGGATGATAGGTGGTAAGAGGAAAGAAGGAAGGGTGTAAACAATACATCGATTATAATGCACGGGATCGAATGAAAGAATAATGATTCGAATTTTTAATATTATTATCGGTAACACGGTATAGATTTTGTTTAATTTTACTTTCTTATCTTTTCTTTTCTTTGTCAATTACTTCGTTTATGTATTCGCAATTATCGTCGTCCACGCGTATTATTAAAAATGCACGATTAATATATTATTATACATTATGTCTAATATAAATTATATTATATCACGAGATTTTATATATTTAATCATCTAAATACGTGAGGAACTCTTTTATAATCATCTATTTATTATTATTATTATTATTATTATTATTATTATTATTATTATTATTATATACGAATCGTTGCACATTTTTACAAAGAGAGTGAAGAAAAAAAAAAAAAAAGAAAAAGAAGAAAAAGAAAAAATAAATAAAGAACTAATGCAGAATTTTTAATAAATACCATCAAGTCCTTATGTACGTACGCGGGATTTGAAACGCAGGACGACACACATTTAAAAAAAAAAAAAGAAACGAAAAAGCAACGTTCGTGCGCCTGTCGTCCATCCGTGCATGCGCACATAGTGATATATATATATATATATGTGTACATAGTAGGTAGGATTAACAAATTAATTAATTGTATTTTGTATCACGAGAAAGAATACTACTACTACTACCCCCATAAAGTGGGAAGAAAAAATGGAAGAAAAGGAGATACAGGAAAAAAAAAAAACAAAAAAAAAAAAACGCGAAATAAAGAAAAGAAAAATTTAAAAAAAAGGCACACGCTCTCACACACACACATATATATACATATATAT